AATGCAGATATTCGGCAAAAGTTCTCAAACTTTCCGGATGGTTTGCGCCTTAAATCTATCAACATATATGTTGTGCTGTATCTTTAAAAATGAATTTATATTAATCGTAGTAAAAATGTTTTGAAGTATTGAAGGAGCATTATGTATTATGCGAGTATTTTCATTACTTCACAAATCAGAATAAAATTTAAAAAGAAAAAAATTCTTTGCTATTATAATACATATTTTTAAAAAATTTAACTTTAGTTGATTTTTATCAAACACTTGTTACTAGGTTAAAACATATATTTGTTGTTTTTTTTTTTTTACTTCGCTGAAATAATTCTACAACAATTCAATTTAACGAGTTACAACAATATATAAACTTGCTTCATTCTGACTGGACTCTTTAAAAATATATTTTATTACAAAAATAATGAAATATAATTTTTATATATTCCAGAAAAGTGTTATTAAACTTTGAATGTAGCTACACACAATGTCACCAGCTATATTTATTACTAGTATTAATTCGTCGTTGTCGTGCAAGAAATGAAATTTGTTTTTTGTATTAATAATTAAAGGTTGAAAATATCTTTGCTTGACTAAATATGTTCAATTAAATTAAATTTAACTTTTAAAAAATATACTATTGCTTATTATTTATTATCTATTATTGATATAAAAGTTTTTTTCAACTTAAAAATAAAATCGAAAAAAAAAAAATCACAAACCACTTTTTTGCACGACAGCAACGAATTAATCCGTCCACCTACGGCGCTAGGTAATAATTATGTATGAAGCATAAATAGCCATTTTATCATTATCATTAGACATTTTAACTAACTTAAGGTTAATTAGATAAATAAAAACTAAAAATTATAGGTAAAAGCTAAAGATTTATCTTAACTAAAAAAATATTGAACTAAAAGGTATCAAAACTAGCAATATTAAACAATGTATTTCAAATCACTCACTAAAACGTCCAAACACTACAGCGCTAAAAAAGCAAATAATACATGATTTAATATTTTTTCAGATCCCACCCCAATACAATTATTTGGCATTTGATCCAGTCGTAGGAATAGTATACTTGGCTTTTGTTTATGACTTGTACAAGTATACAAGTACTGGTATACTTGTCAATTATATCAGTTATGGGAAGGCTCCACATGTTAATAATTGGATGATTTGGCAAGTATACAATTGTTGGTGTACTTAGCAAGTACACCAGTCTTGGGAATCCGCCCTAAGTGTTTGATATGTAAACTGCGTTAAAAGTATTTTTCTTTAGCGTTAACCACGGCAAAATCATTAATAAACAACACAAACTGATATATACAACGTCTAATTTTTAACAATTATTTTGATACTGTAGTATAATTAAAAGTATTAATAAAGTATAATATTGATATATTTTTATGAAAAAATTAATTTTTTTTTGTTTTATTAAATAATACATTTTATAAATTAACTTCAAGAAATTTGTTTGTTAACTTTTTTTCTGTTAAATTATAAATTGCATCTCTTTGGTAGTTTTTTTTATACTTTTAAGGAAACGAATATTTTTCTATACTTAAATTTACGTAAGTATCAACTTGAATAATTTGTAGAATAGTAATACAATTATATAATGATGATAATTGTAATTGTTATGATTTTATCACAGATTACATGCATTTTGTATTTATATATTGGTTTTAAGGTAATAGAAAATTCTTTTGTTACTCGTCAAAAAATAATAATTAAGTATTTTATTAAAAAGTAGTCGTACACTATCCATAAAACACTAAAACATATCAATACTAACTATATTAAGTAGCTTTCAAAGCTGTCTTAAAAATAATTTACTCTGCTAATAGCAAATATTTATTCGAACTTTAATATAATAAGCATACAATAAAAACAATTGTTTTGTAATAATTTATTATTATTATGTACAATTATATTAATTTTAATAATTAATTAGATAGCTTAAAATAAAGGGTTAATTAAAATTATTAATTGAAGCTCACACCAGAAACACATTTTGAAAAATAATTATATCATTTTAATGAGTTCTATTGTATTACTATAAATATTTTTTACTTCTATAAAATGTATTTATAAAAAATATATATATTTAAATAATTGAAACTGAAATAAAACTATTATTAATGATGATTTCAAAAAGCTGCCTTTTAAATTAAAAATGAATGAATTTGATTCTATTTATAAATACCTCTAGTTATTAGACGCATTTTTTACTATTATACAGTACATTGATAAAAATAAAAATCATATGCTTTCCAAATATTGGGTTCCAATGTGTATACTCGGATTTGTTTTCAATGCATTGGTAAGTAACACGACTTCCTTGAAGTCAGCGTACAAATTATTAAAAAGTCTAAGAATTAAGCTTCAGATGATAAGTACATTAAAGAAATCTGAAGCCCGGAACTCAAGGACACCATGTTAATTTTTATGAAAATGAGTTACTCCCTTGTCCTTGTTGTACATTTCGCGCTCTATGTACACGAGCAAACCAAAACTATTTAAATATTTTTTTGTATAAATACAGAATGAGTCAGATATAACAACTTAAATAGTCAAAAAATAAAAATGATATTAATAATTTTTATTGATTTCTTTTATTCCAATGTTTCTCTCAATTAATCAATCTTATAGTATTTTTTATATTCATCCATTGTATCTTATAAGGATGTGAACTTTAATATCTCAAATGACTACAGACATAATTAACAAATTTAATAATATAATTAACTTATTCAATGATCTAGTTAAGATAACGACTTTTAAGATAACAACTTTTGGTCCAGTATTTCGAAAGTTATTGACATTTTTATACCAAAGCAGGAGAAGAAATTTATAGTTTTATCTATAATCATGTCTCTATATAACTGCAAATATCATATTAAGTAAAAATACAGTAAGTTAAGAATAATACTATTATAAGTATCTTTACTTGCATTAAATATGATAAATTTATGTAAGAACTCGTGTCTTACCTATATAGTTTAAAAATGTCTGTGAATATTATTTATTATTACTAAAATTGATATTAGGACTTAGAATAAAGGAAACACAAGAAGACTCAGTCTGTTAACCTTTAGTACTAATCAATTGTTAAAGTGTTCCATTTTGAAAATATAATTGAAATTTTTGTAATTTTATCGATAGATAGAATATTTAATATGGTATAAAGATTTGTTTTTTTTTTTGTTTCTTTGAGCTTTTTATATAAATTTACAGTTGAAGTGTGCACCCTATTTAAATGTAACTTGAAAATTTTGTCTATGAGAGCAGCATTCAAACTATTTTATAAGTATACATTGCTTACATCCCTAACACATTGCTTTATCTTCCCCTCACCCGCCAAAAGTCTAGCTTATTAGGAGGGTTTCGGTTGTTTTAATAAAAACTAAATCTCACATAGTCCTCATGCAAACTGTGCTAATGATCCCCACCCACTGTTACAAAATATACAACATCCGCCATTGTATACAGAGTGATCAGTTTATCAAAACCACTCGATTACTCGCAAAATAAATACAATATTGGAAAAAAAATGTTTGATTTCATTTAGTTACATATATTTTTTGATTTATCAGCTAATGATAACACCAACTGTTTATGAAATTCTATGTTCGTGTAGCTAATCATACATTGGTCAAATAGGTAGTGTAATTGCCACAAGAATAAAAGAACATGGAAAAGACGTACTCTACTACCAAAGGGCGGAAAATCCGCGGTAACCGAACACGGCAAAAACAGCGGATACAAAATTCAGTGTGATAAGATCAAAATTTTGAATAACGAAGTTTATTTCGACAAACAAACTTATGAAGAACAATAAAAATTGAAAAGATTCCAAAAAATTATAACAATGAAACGAATAGAAAATTAGTAAGAATTGGTTATTTATTGTACATGTGTATATGTAATATGTATAACTAGCCACATGAACATGGTTTTTTTTATTTTATAGTAATATACAATCTGTACAATGAGCACAATAAGCATATATGATAAGAGTAGAATAATTTACATGAATACATAAACATGGTATTTCATAAACAGTTGGGATTTTCATTAAATGCAAAATGTAATAATATAATAGGAACACTATTCTGAAGACTAAAGGTTGAATTGATAGAAAATGTCTGGTAATTCATTTTTCACAATAATATTCCTATGAATGTGTTCAATTAAAAGATGCTCTTTATTTTGAATTTATTAGTGATTCTTGAGATGCGGTCCATAACTCCTTGTATATCAGCAGTATTAAAGATATGTTTATCTTTTTTACGTGGTCTCTGTCAACTATTTTTAAAGATCTTGTTGCTATTGTATATAGTAATTGCATATTTTGTGTCTGCCGGTGTGTGTACTTTTTCTGTACTGAATATTATTTGGGTATTTCTTGACTAGTACGTTCAGGAACGGTAGTTGTTTGTTTTTTTCGTTGTTAATTGTATGTTGGCGTGTATACTATTTAGGTATTTTAAAAAACTTTTTTAGTTGATCATCACCGTAGAGTACAAACGGTCTACATATCACAGCCATATTTTTGAATTTCTACCACATGTATTCATTAAAAGAGTATTCATTGCATTTTCTTAAAATTATTCCTCGAATATTTTTGGGAAACCTAGCGCTTGTTTTTAAAACGTGAGCGCAAAAATAAAGACATGAATATATCTGTAAATATTCTAAATAATATTGCAATACATGAAAGTCTTAACACATTCAAAGTTATAGTAGCTTCGTACTTGTAATAAAAAAAATCTTAATGTATTTTTAATGTTGGATACTATTTTGTATGTTGAATTGAAATTATTTTTAACTTTATACAATATACAATCTGTTAATATTAAAACAATTAGTATATATGCTAAAATTAAATATGAATAATGTTTTGAAAATATCAAATAATAATAGTATATAGGATGTAATAGTATCATTGTATAACTTAGTTGCAAAAGCTAAAAAAATTCATATAAAAAATTATTACTTTACAGGTAAACTGTACTAGACAACAACATGATTCAAAAAAAGACTTTTCAGGTTAACAAGCGCCTTCTACCGATGAAAATCACTTTCTTCCTCTTAGATTTTGGTAAGATAATTAAAATTAATTAACAATTTCAATTAAATCGATTATTTATGATAGGTACTAAGTCCAAAAGGTAAAACTTTCGGGTTACAACTATTTTTCTCATACAATTTTATATAAAAAAAATTTTTAATTTTTATACACTACACTTTTTTAAATTTATGAATACCCAGTTTTCAAATGAGTTACTTAACTCTTTTCATAAATAAAATTACTAAATTATTAACGAGGTTGTGTGCAACATACTAATATATTGTATTATGACTTTTAAAATGTATAAATCATTAATATATTGAATATTAATTGTAAAATATCTATCATATGCAGTTGGTTCCTTTTCAAAAGTGAACTATCCGTATATATCCACAGAACACATTTATTTAAAAAAATTGTGACTTATAATCTTTCATAATTAATCGAAATTAGAAGTGTCGTCTATTTTCAATAGACGACATTTTATTCAATATTCAAAAAAAAAGTTTAAATATAGATTTGTTTCTGTTTCTAATCACTTAAACAGGGACAGCACCAATTAATCCAATGTTGACGACAATAGCAAAACAACGTGGTATACCAGTATTCATTATTGGTATCATTTTTACATTTCTTCCTATTTTAAATGTGTTAGTAAGACCACTAGCTGGATACGTCACTGACCGATGGCGCTGTCGAAAAGCTTTTTGTATGGGTGCTAGTTTTATAAATGCATTTTTAACGCCAGCTCTTCATTTTATTCCATCTTTGACGGACCAACAAAAATCAGATGGTGTGGATATATTGACAACATGGAGTTTCTGGTTATTTTTGTCAATTATGATGTTGAGATCGATTTTATGGATGGTTGGTGATGTACTACAAGATGCTATTTGTATAGAAATTCTAGGTTAGTATTCTATTTTATTTTATGTCTATAACTTGTCATTTAATCGATAATTATCAAAAATTTTATATCATTAATCTTCATGACTCAAAAAATTATTTTAGAAAACTATATCAAAAATTATAATAATTAATTTTATTAAATATTTATTTGGTGTAAAATACAGTGTTAATAACACTTTATTTATTTCAATAGCACACTAAAGATTTTGTCAATGGAATATATTATGGAGAAAGTATTTATTAATAGTAATTAACACCCCGTGTGAATTTCTGACTCGCAAACGGTATTTCATATGATTTTTATGTATTTAAAGACATTTTTGCGTATTTTTTAGGAGAAGATAAAGAAAAGTATTCATTACAGCGGATATATGGAGCGTTTGGTTGTGGTCTTAGTACTGTGTTCACAGGATGGTGTGTAGATTTATACAGCCAAGGACAAATAGAAAAGAACTATCTCCCAGCTTATTTAATTTCAATGGTTTCGTTAATTGTTCATGTTTTTGCAGTCTATGGACTAGATGTAAGTAACATGTAACATCTTATAAAACATTAATCCCATTTTTACCCGTCTTTAATTCAAATAAGGGTCAATATTTTAATCTTATAGAACATTTTAAATTTAGAAATGACCATTTTATAATTTTAATTAGATAATTAACAACTTTCTCATATTCCTAACAAAATTAAAAAACTTCCAATTATCCGATTTTTTCAATAAATTACTCGTGTATTTTTTTTAATCTTTGATGCATGAAATTCACATTTTTAAGGATAATTTGAAACCCATTATATTTTTCTAATGCCAACACCAAAACTTTTCACTTAAAACACGTGAATCAAATCATTTTTGAAATTACCATAGAATCTTTTAATTGGAAAAAGAAATTCTAGAAATAGTAATTATTAATGATGGAAAACAATATAATTTTACACTTCGATATATTTTTTATTTTGGCAATATCAATGTCATTTTTATAATAATATTGTTATTCAAAAAACATTTTTTTATTATTAAAACAAAAATAAAAAACCTCGAATTTTTTTTTTTTAACTTTATAATGCTAACTATCGATACATATGTCACACAGGATTACCAATATTTTGGCCAAACATTAGTCTTTTTCTCTTTCCTCGCCTTAATCCTAACTAACTTGGGGTCAGCCACCCTTATCCTAAAGATCCACATGACACGATCTCGCAGATATCTCCCGATTATTTAGCCTAACATTAGTGGTTATTATAATAAGCTGAATATAATTTTGTTTTGTTTATGACAAATGTTTTTTTCAATTATAATTTAATATAAAATACTTAAAAAGTATTCATGATTTATTTCAAATACGATTGATTTCAAGTATTAAATTATCAATCAGAATACTTTTATATAAAATAAAATCTGATAAAAAAAAAATCAAAATATATTACAAACTGTCCTATTTTATAAGAATAGTTTCTTTGGTCTCTTTGTTGATAAGTTCTCTCTTATTTTTGCTGTAAATCTCTTAAAATACTAACAATAGTATTTAAATGATTTAGTTATATAAAATGTAATTTTATTTCAGTCTCGACAAATCAGTTCCTCAAAAAATATGTCTAAAGAAATCGGTAAAGTTTTATCCGATGTCAAAGTATTATTTTACCTCTTATGGTCAGTCATAGGAGGAGCATTCACAGCTTTTATTTGGTTTTATCTATACATGTAAGTTTGATAAAGTATAAAAAATTAATATGCCGTGATACTACTGTGCATCACATTGCATTTCCAGTGACGTAAATGTTATAACTTTTACAGAATTGAAATTTACACGATTACCTTTAAAAATTACTAGTAGGAAGTTATTAAATTATCAACCATAAACATGAATTTATAAACTGTTTAAATATTTTGGTATTTAAATAAATTTTCAAACCTTGAACTTTTGAATTATTCGAAAGTTGACAGCTGAAAAAGTTAAATATTTAATTAAAAACTTTTGACTTTTATATAATAATTTCAGAAAAAAATTAAGTGGTGCAATAAAATTTTAAAAAATTGACAAATTTATGATTCATGCAATAAATATAAAAAGATAATTCGAAGAAAATAAATTTCTGGAAAGTTAATAAATACTTAATTATGTTTCAGATACATTGATGATTTGGCAAAATTTTACCACCCAGAACGTAAACCGTGGATAAAAACTATTCAAGGGCTGACTTTCACTATTCAATGCTGCGTGGGTGAACTACCTATATATCTCTGGTCAAGTACGTTTATTTAAATAGACATTTTTTTCTGCTTTATATTTAGTTTTTAATCATTTGTGTTTTTGTATTTAAACTTCTAGAATACATATTAAGAAAAATTGGTCATATGACAGCGTTTTCAATTGGATTCCTCTGTTTTGGTATACGATTTTACTTGTACTCAGTAATAATAGACCCTGTTTGGGTGTTGCCAGTAGAGCTACTTAATGGTGTTTCGTTCGCAATATTATTTTTATCTGGAATCTCATATGCCGCCAAAGTGGCACCACCTGGAAGTGAAGGTACATTGCAAGGATTGTTCGGTATGGCGTTTCAAGGATTAGGTAACATTTATTTTTGTCCAATGAAACATTCGTGTTGTTAATAAAGTTTCGGCAAAAATAACGAGTATTGGTTTCAGGAATATCAATTGGCTGTTTTGTAGCTGGCTTCACCTTTGATAAAATAGGAAGTTTAAACTCTTTTAGACTCATGAGTTATGTTGCATTTGCTTCCTTTTTAGTACAAGTAATTATCAACCAACTGGTCCAGAGAAGAAGAACAAAAAAACACAAAAGCAATTCCAATCAAATAAACACTTAATTATAACATTTCACCATTAATTATTAAATGTATGTTTAAAAATTGTAAATAAATTTACTATTAATATAGCTCATATACAAAGCTAAAAAATTATTAATATTACCATGATACGTTTATTTATTTATTTTATATGCGTCACCAATATACTTAGTTTCTACAAAAGCTTAGCATATTTATAATACCAGTTGTTTTTAGTATGTTAGACTAATACTATTAATCAATACGTCAAAAAAACAAGTATTTCTTCCTCAAAATTGGAGAAAATTCATTAAATGTATTTATTATTGAAAATATATGATCACTTTTTAAAAAATGTATAGATCAAAATGACTTTGTTTTGATAATAAAATAGCTTATATCTCCAAGACAACCGTCGGGTAAACTATTGATTGGCCAACGAATTTGGATTTGAATTTGGAAATTAAAAGGAGAACTATAGGGAAAACTATAAACGATAACTTAATATAGAAATAAATGAAAGGAAAATAATTTTTTTCAATTTGTATCAAAAAAATGAAATTCATTTAAATACAATGTTTAACTTTTATATGAACATTACCTATTGTGAGATATTTTATTAATGAACTATTTTACTAATACTAATTAGTTGAATATAAAAATAAATGACAATAAAACAATATAAATATATTTTATCATTTATCCGCATTCAAAATAATACTGGAATATTTATTTTTTTAATTTATTCTTACTACATTTTAATAGCGTTTAGAATATACATGGTGGCCCACCACTCACTGACAACTTAAATAAATTTTGATCCAGTTAATATTTTCAGCTGATTTCTTTTTTAAATATTAGTTAGACGTTAGGTCTATAGCTATATCTCAATAATTAATATTTTTACATTTTATTAAAAATATTAATTATTTTTAAATTTTAAATAAAATGTAAAAAAACGGTAGCACAGTGGGGTCGAGGCACAGTGTGGACGAGGCATAGATGGTACAAGTATAGATGATATCTGACAGTGATTAAAATCACTATCATAAGAAACGCTTCGATGCAAATCTGTAGATAGTGTTTCCNAAAAGGCTTCGATGCAAATCTGTAGATAGTGTTTCCTTTAGAGAAATAGGTGAAATATTTTAAAAGCAACATGAACTCTTATTTCTTTAATTATATCCTGATTAGTAGTTCTTTGATTTTAAAATATAATATATGAATAAATACTAATTATAGTTTTTAAATTTAGTATGAAATTGTGAGGCCAGCTATGATGTATGGTTCATAGTATTGGGCGGTTGATAAGAAAGTAGAGCAGAGAATAAGTGTAGCAGAGTTGAGAATGCTTAGTTGGATGAGTGGAATGACTAGAAAAGATAGGATAAGGAACGAGCATATAAGAGGAAGTATAGGTATTGCGTCAATCGTGGATAAGATGACAGAAAATAGACTTAGATTGTTTAGTCATGGTATGAGGAAAGAAGAATCGAAAGCTGTAAGAACAGTTATAGAAATGAATGTTGAAGGAAGAAGAGATAGAGGAAGACCAAAAAAGAGATGGAGGGATGCTATTGAATGCGATTTGAGGACAGCTGATGTGAGCGTAGAAGATGTGGGAGATCGTGTCAAGTGGAAGCTTAGGATAAGGGTGGCCGACCCCAAGTAGTTGGGATTAAGGCAAAGAAAAAGAAAAATATTACCAGAAATTCCGGTGGCAATTGACATAATATGATTGTTGTTTCGGAATGTACAATTTAGCGTTTAGTTGGGTTTAAATAATATAGCGTCAAATCAATTACCTACTCTATCGCTTGTATATTAATATACACTACACTTTAATGATACAATAAATAAATAAACTCACACATACACACTTATGCATTTATAACATTGTGTCTAACGTAAGTGTAACATGATAAAAAGTAACCGTAACATGAAAAAAATGAAAAATAAATTTTAGTACTCATATTAAATGTAATGTAACTCGAAAAATATTTGTTTAAATGAAAAAATATAAGAAAATTTTTTTGTTTATAATTGTCTTTTAAACAACTTTTGTACGAATTTTTTTTTTTTAAGTTAAATATTTTTTGAGAAAGTTAAAAAAGCTCATATTTTGGACTTTTGCGAGGCTGTAAAAAAAAAAGCTCAATTCCAATCAAGAGGACTATTAGTATGTCATTATACATATTTTAATTCAACTTTTAAAAANNNNTGAACCGGGTCCAGAGAAGGGCCGCTCTCCGGACGGTGTGCGCATACCGCACCGTATCCGGAGTGGCGGCCAGGATCCTGGCTTCTCTGCCGCCCGCGGACCTGTTGGCCGTCGAACGCGCCAACGGATACGAGCTCCGGAAGAGTACCGGTCAGCCGCTTCGTGCGGAGGACCGGCTGCAACTCCGGAGTGTGACCGTATCCAGTTGGCGCCAGCGACTGGCCGACGAGGAATCCGCGGGAGCGTGGACTAGGTCCCTCATCGGACCCAGCCGGCTCGACAGGTGGATTGGCCGGACTCACGGGGAGATGACGTACCGTCTGACCCAAGTGATGTCCGGTCACGGCTGCTTCAACGAATACCTTCACGGTATTCGGAAGGCAGCCGCGCCGACGTGCGATCACTGTCGGGATCGCCCGGGAGAAGCGGACAGTGCTCTGCATACGCTCTTCCGGTGCGAAGCGTGGGCCAACGAGCGGGAGGAGTTGGAATCCCGCTTGGGGTCCGCGTTCGGTGTGGGTTCCATGGTGGACCATATGCTGAGAAGCCGGGAGGGGTGGTCTCTGGTTCAGGCGTTCGCCGAATCGGTGATGAGCCAAAAAGAGGAGGCCGAACGTCTGAGGCAGAGACTGCCCAGGGTGGTAGTACCTGCGGCGTCAGCTAGACTGGCGCCGTAGGTGCTTGTCTTTATGTTGTATGTGTTGTTTTTATGTTTATGTATGTTTGTGATTTATTTCTGTTTGCCCAACCCTCGCAAAGTCCTGCCCCCACCTCCACGTGGTGCAACCCGGGCAACGGATCCCGACTTTTGGGATCCGGCTAACGGGGGAGGCCACACCACGTTGTGAATCAGCTCTTGATTAATTTCGGGCTGATTCACAACGTGGTGGTGTGTATGTTAGACGGCGTGGGCCGCCCTGAAGCAATACCTCGCGGTAGTTCCAGGGCGGTCCACAGCATGCCGGCAGTAGGAAAGGAAAAAAAAAAAAAAAAAGATTTAATCCCCCCGTAAACTTCCTCCACCGCAAGGAAGGTGAGTGGGTGAGGCGGGGGGGTTCCAGCTCTCTCCAAATTACCCTACTAATATATTTTATGTAAAATAGGAATGCGCCCTCTAGTGGTTGATGGCTTCAATATTCAGACGATAACTATTATTTGTAACTGATTAGAAATTGCTACCAAGTGTGGCTAACTTCATAGTTTAAAAAAAAATTCCACTATCTTAGGCGTTTGTAAAACTTCACATAAATACTGTAATATCATAAAGTCGGAAGGATTTATAAATTTAAGTAAGTTTATTTTTCACAGTTATTATTCATTAAAATTATTAAGGTTAACATTAAAACGTATAAGCTTATAATTGAATTATGGAATGAAATATTAGTTGATTCTGAATTATATTTCACCTAAAAGGGAAGGCGAATAGCACTCTTACTTTTAATGCAATAGCCCGTTTTAATTATTGTAACTTATCAAGTTATGTAGTGAATAACACAATACTAAGACAAGAAATAGAATCGTTTTTCTATTTTAATTGTTTCACTATTTTACATTTGCCTTCTCTATTGTTCTTTTAATATTCACTCATTTTAATTACTTAATGTTACTAATTAATAACCAAAATATTATTCTAAGAAAGAATCAAATAAAAGAATTAATTTATTTTTAAATATATTAATTATTATTATCTTCAAGTTAATAACTATAAATATTGATTTATTCTACAGTTATAACTTTCAAAGAAACATTTCTGATACAAATCCATTTATACAGGATGTTCCAGCTTATCTGAATAATTCTATGACTTTTGATTGACTGAATGTATATTTTTATAATAAAAAAACAAAATAGCCATTTAATAGAGTAGATAATTAAAAGTAATTTATAATATTTATTTTAAATACATTATTAAAGAACCATTGTGCTATAATATATCATACAAAAATACTTATATAGTATAATTGTACTTGAAAATTTATTTTTTAACAACAAATTTTTATCTAATAGTATTTATCAATTTTATACCAAAGAATTATTGATATTCATTCAAGTGAAATAAAATTTCCATACCTATATACCATTATTTATTTCATTAATAATGTTATATTATAAACCAATAAACAACTAGACTAAAATTTCTAGAAGTGCTAAAAAGAGGTATGCCTTTACATCCTTAGGGGTCTTGGCCTCTCACACACCTACATTAGGTTAGTTTACATAAGGTTTCGTCGTTCCCCCTCCCATTCCATTAGTTTAGTTTACATTGGGTTTCATCGTTCTCCCCCGCCATTCTATTAGGTTAGTTTACGTTAGATTTAATCCCCCCGTAAACTTCCTCCACCGCAAGGAAGGTGAGTGGGTGAGGCGGGGGGGTTCCAGCTCTCTCCAAATTACCCTACTTATATTGTATTAAATTAGTATTATATTTGACATACTTAGGGACATGTCGAAAGATTTACTCCGATACATTTACTTGAATCAAAATATCAAATAAAATAAAAACATCTCATCATGGTGTGCTATATAATAAAAATTGATCACTTGTGGCTAATTAATTAAGTAAAATTAAAACTATATTAAAAATATTATTAATTTAAAAAACTAAAAAATATTAAATTCAAAGCCACAAAAAAAAAAAATTACTGACGTAATTACGGCATAATAATATAAATTAAGTCGGACCTAGACACTTTGCCGCCAGACTCTTGATTTATAAATTTATTATTAACCCCTATTCGAAAAATTATAAATATTTTATAGTAATCCTTCATTGAAAAGCCTTTAAAATCCAGTATAATGATAAAAAAATTAATTATTTTATATGATGTCATAAATTATTTAAATTTAATTATTATACACACAAAGAAATCTTTGTGTTGTTTTAACAATAAATAGGGGCGTTGAAGTTAAAATGTCAAGTTTATAGTTATT